CTCAACCTTTAACCCTAACCCCCCCCCCCAATTCAGAATAGTTTTAAAGGGCAGGGATGATTTCGGCAGGATTCGGCCTGCAAATCGTCGAAATCGCATTTGCGCAGACGATAGACGGCATCGTCAGTATATGCATGAGTGTTTGCATCTTGAGCATCATCGTCCATTCCCGAGTCATCATCATCATCATCATCCACAATAACACCATGGTCATGGAACGTATGGCTGCCTTTTCATCAAACTCATGTCGAAACTGCTCCCCCACTCCCTAGCAATTTTCGAGCCTGTATGTGTCAGGCGGCTCGCCGGGGGTGCGGGCAGTCCCGAAATTGCTACGCATGCAGTCGTGCCAAATTTGACGATAATGGTCACGCAGATTTGGCTTTAATTGTTCGATAACGGTGATTATGAGGACGCGAAGGATAAGGAAGAAGCAGAGTCAACAACTTGCACGGCCGAACTCCCGCTCTGGACATCGCCATATAGTGCCGATCCGCGTCGCGAGGGTGCGGGGCGAGGGCTGGTAGCTTCAGTAGACCTCGCTCGTTTGAAATCCTGGTTCCCACATGCGCAGGACGTGTACGCGCATCAGTTTCAGACCAACACCGCGGATTCAGAGAATGATTTTAACACCTAAGCGCTCGAGTCTCAAGCGGTCAGGGCTATTTCTGGCCGTCCTTCACCTTCAGCGCAATGGGCTTCATCTCCTTCACACTAAGTGTGAAGATGTCGATGCCCAGAGCCAGCCCAGCAGGATTTGAAAAGGTCTTCGGGATTAGGGTTAGGATGATTAGGGTTGAAAGGGTTCAGGGTTGAGGTACAAGCTGTAAACACACTTCCAGGACAGCTGCCTGCAGTGTTGGAAATTTGCCCTACGATCGTATTGTTGTGGCTCTTGGAATTTCCAATCGACTTGGCGCCTTGCTTCACTCGCCTCGCAGCTACAAACGCACCCAGGGTGGCTCCTTAATTCCTTCGAGCTACAGTAGAACCTGCCAAATCCCCATTCTAAGCAGGAAGACCCCAAACATTACATTAGAGGAAGCGCACTGGAGTCTCATGGCAAAACGGGTCTTCACCCGTGTACAGGTAAGCCATGAGATCCGGATGCCAGGTCGCGACTACGATGCTTGCGCTGATTTCCTTGACGAATCTGCGGAATGCCCTGGTCGAACTACTACCTGCCTCGGGCGAAACAAGTTGGATGGAGGAGGGGCAGGCTAGTGTAGAAGCCATATACTTAGGGCTTCGGGTTGTGGGATATTCCCATAATCATTTCACTATATGGTATTGTGCTCCCCGGCTCGATTGCCAAATAGCCTGAGTTGTGTTTGACAGCACCAGGTGCGTGAAGGTTTCAAACTGTGGGCTGTGTGAGTGTGTGTGTGTCTTTGTGTTTGTGTTTGTGTTATTGCTAGGCTAATGAAGGAAAGGACGTCGCAAGCTCTGGCAGCATACCGCCTGGCAGCTTTGAGAATAGATACCGGTTTCATCATCACAACAGCGCCGACTTGATTGTGACACCGGACAAAGTTTGACTTTCACCTCACGGTGTAAGCATGCGTCTCGTGTGAGACTGTGCTTCAGCGTGTCCAAGCTGACAGATAGTGATTGTTGCAAGCAAAGAACTAATGATAACTAATGCCTAACATGCTCTGCCTGTGGACAAAGTATTACAGCTGTGAAGTGGCCGTCCCGGTTCCCGTTGCAGGAGTACTTTCTGCTTGCTATGACCTTCATGCTTCTGAACTTGTGCGGACATGCGATCTCCTTTTACTTGGATGCTCTCGGCAAGACGACTTTGCAGCAGATGGCCAACAGGATCAATTTATTTGGCCACTTCGTCCGCATCCGAGAATTGTGTCCTTGACATACAAGGCTCACTCCTAAACCCATAAGTTCTCACTGCTACAAGCTTTTTGGGTCTGGAGCTTTCGAGCCGTATTGCCAGTAGGCTTACAAAAAAAGCGCGTGGCTACAACACAGTGACGGCGAAGAAGTGACTACCCAACCCCTCTGTTTGGAAATTTGCAAATATTCTATGACATGCCCCATTTTCCGGATCTCTTTAGTTGTCCCCACCCCTCCAATATCCCTTGATCTACGCCAGCTGACCTGGCCAAGCTGCGAAGTCTCGAGCCTGACTTGGCCATCTGCGTTTGCATTGGTTTCCATCTATCTCAGGAATGGTATCTATAGCAAACCTGGTCGTTTTAGCACGCCTACATGAACGTAACTGTCCTCTCGTCGACCGTCACTTGGCACGCAATAATTTCAGGGTCTCATCGTAAGCCCTAAGCGATCATCGTGCAACATTGTCCCCACCAGGCAGTTTGGAGCGATGTATTTACAGGCAGGATCTTACACGGTGATATCACTCCTGTTTAACATTCTTCTCACTACCACCATCAAGATTGATTGTGTTGCTTTTTTTAATGTGCAGAGTCACACCGACACACGGAAAGCCATGTCGTTGCAATACATGCATGCAGACGCATGTGTACTGGGCAGCCGTCGTTCCGAGTGGACATTTCCCTTCGGAGCAGCGGCTCGTTTAAACTTCTTGGGCTGTCACTGGTTAATTGCTGCTATCCAGAGGCCAAGGTTGGGTCCAGATGATGCTGCAGGCGCGTAAAGGCAGAGACACTGCACCAAAGTTCAAAGCCAGCAACTGGCACGTGCATGCTGGACCGACAGACCGCTGAACTGCAAACTGTAAAAGCCCAACTTCGCCGAAGAAGGAAGCGGTTTTTGCACACTTGGCATAGGCCGAAGTGCGATGGTTTCGGGCTGAGGGTCCTTGTGAGCTTGTGTCGACTTTCTGCATCGCTGGCAAGCTCCAGGCACTCTCAGCACAACTTTGGTGGTGCTCTCCAGTCTCATTGTCATCTTCGTATTTGCCGCCATTGCGTGGTGTTACCGGGTGCCCAGCTCATGATAGCTTTATGTGCAGGTTTGACTTGTTGTGTGGGCAAAGGCCCCTGCCCTTGGCTGGGAGCTTGAAGGTTTACCGTAGATTCCGGAATGAGGGTGATGACACGAGCAGGCTGGTCTTGAATCCAACACGCTGAAACCATGTGATCGCGATGATCTTGCACAGGGGAGTGCCGATGCAGATGGCGGTCATGCTACTGACGAAGATGAACATATTGCCGATGTGGCTGTAGACAGCTGTTGCTGATGACGGCGCTGAAACGATATTTGTCATGATCATGGTGTGGAAGGAGAAGATGATGATCATCAGGCTTTTATGATGGTGATGATGATGACAGTGATGGTGACGATGACGATGATGTTGCTGTTGATGAAGATGATGACTGATTAAGATGATTATGATGCTGTCTTTGCAACACTGTTGCTGATGACGATGCTCATAATGACGATGGTTTAGGTGATGACGGTGATGAGGAAGAGGGCAAGCACGTTGGTGGTAATGGTGATGGCAATGTAGCTGTAGCTGCTGATGATGGTGATGTCCCGGAAAGATGGAGAGCTTTCAGACTCTGAAGACGACAGCGCGAAGTTAACGTCTCCGTTAAAGTGATGCTGAGAATACGCTGGCAGTCATGATGCTCTTGGTGCAAACATGTCGGTTGCGCTGTTTTGATTGGGACGGTGGCCGTAGCGGCGGTGATGGTAATCGTATTGTTTATTGGGATGACAATAATGATTAGGTATGTCGCTGTTCATAGTTCAGGGTGTGGTTTCTGAGATAAGGAAGCTGGCGACGACGCTGCATACGATGCTGGTGGCGTTCTAGATGAGCCACATAATGCGATGATGTTGCTCTTGATTCGTCTATCTTACTCGTACACGTGTAGTTAGTGTAGTTCTGGTGCAGATGCCTTTTGAGGATCTTATGATATTGTAGGCATTTCTACATAGGATGACGGGAGTGCAAAAGGTAGTATGCTTGACACCGAGCCCATAGACCACAAGTTTCGCAAATTGTGTGGAACCGATAGGTTTCTCACTGTTCAACGAAGTGTTGTTATGTGCTTTTGGCGTCGAGATGTGGCATCACATGAAGAACCTCCGGCAATTGAAGCAGTAATTATCACAAAAGTAAACCTGCGAGGAGTTTGAAACTTACTCTAGGTAGTGTCTATTGTTTGCACTGGTTCTGCTTCGGCTTGTCTTGATCAGTTGGATACTAACCGCATCATGGCGACCGTTCCAGACGCAGTCGTGATCACCACTATGATGTGCGTGTGTTGTACGCTTCCCTTTCTGTTGCGGTACTTGTTGAAGTGAATTGTGTCAGTGTTTTTTGGTTAACCCTTACGCATTCCTACCATTGTAAGTTTTGTTGGACACTCAGCAAATGACAAACTTTTTAAATCCTAGTTCTGCGATTCGGTTGTTAGGATGCTGAGTTCTTACAACCCCTCAAGCAGCTACCGCGCCAGGATTCTTTCCGAGAGGTGAGCCAGATCATCTCGCAGAGGATGGCAACGCGTGTGGTGCCCGTTTACAAGGAGACGGATGACATCGGTGATGACTCTGGGAAGGACGTCGACTAGACTTGGTACCCTGCTTGTGTCACCTTGGAGAAGCAGCTCCTCGTACCCTGAGCTTGCAAAATGTGGTGGAGATGGAAAAATTCGGTTTTGGCATCAGGGTTGGGGTTTGAGACGTTTTGGGATTTGGGTTTCAGGGTTTAGGGTTCAGAGCGATGTCGGCGAGGGAATCTTGGGTTTTGGGGTTGTCGGGTGTGGGTGCCTGTTAAAGGCACGATCTGAAGCGAAACTTGAGATGAAGGCATCGAGAGCTCCCAATTGGTTTTTAAATCTTGGGGCCCAGTCCAAACAAATGCTCATCCTGTGGTGGCCGGGAGTGAGCATTGCTTCAAGCTTGCCGGAAATGAGCTCATATTGTAGCAAGAGGAAACCTTGACCAGCAGCTTGACAACAAAACCCTAAAACCTACTCCCTAAACCCTAAACGGGCCTAAACTATAAACCCTGTGTAAAGTCTAAACCCTAAACCTTAAACCCTAAACCCCAACAAGGCTTTGGACGCAGTCTCAACATTCCGATCCCCCCCGAACCATAGACCCTGTGACATTAGTTTATACTGTGCTATATTTTGTTCTATTGCAGGAAATATACCCTGTGACATTGTTTTATACTATACTATATTCGATGCTATTACACGAAAATGATTTAGTGTACTATCAGACATCATTAGCTCCTGCATTCCTTCCTAAACCCTAAACCCTAACCCCTTAAGGGGTTTAGCGTCGGCCTGTCAGATCCACCCTGCGCCCTGGGCGGCGAGAGCCTGAATCAGAAGATTCTTCGGCCCGTAGATCGGATCCACGGCTACATGGTTCCGGGTTGAGGGTTTATAGGGTTGAGGATAGAGGGTTCAGGCTTTAGGGTTTGGGGTTCAGGGTTGAGGGTTCAGGGTCTAGGGTTCAGGGTTTAGGGTTGAGGGTTTAGGGTTCAGGGTCTAGGGTCTAGGGTTCAGGGTTTAGGGTTCAGGGTTGAGGGTTCAGGGTTGAGGGTTCAGGGTTGAGGGTTCAGGGTTGAGGACATAGGGTTCAGGGTGTAGGGTGCATGGTGGGCTTCACTCGTGGTGGCATAGTGGCATAGTGATGGGGACGGAGGTGATGGGGTTAATGATCTTACAATCGACGGAGAGACAGCTGGCGAATGACGACGAGATGGTGCAGATGCTGGCAGATGATGACGCTGATGTTGATATTGAGAACAAGGTGGCACCTGTAGTGCTTGCAAAGGTTCTGCCAGCGGAGATGATGATGCGGTGAACTTTATGACCTGTTACGGCTTTCTTGATGATTGATAATGCTGTCATCATGATGGTGCCAGTCAGGATTAACTTGACGATATGTACGTCCTCCTGCTATTCCTACAGGATTCCGGCTACTCTGCAACTGGCTAAATCTCCTGTGCGAGTCACTAATATCTCCACCCCCTCATCCCCCTCCCAGATCACACCCGCCCCCTCTCCACGGCCCGAAGCGAATTAACCTGCCAAGGCTGCTTTAGGTCTCAAACCCTGCATTGGGCCAAACCCCTATGCCAAAGACAATGAAGCCTGAAGACGACCAAGCATTTCAATGCTTTGACTCGAAGCTTCAGTTTTCGAAGCTCTAAACCCTAAACCTTAAGCATTGAACAAGGCTTATAGCTTGCCTCTCGCAATTCTCGAGAGCCAGCAGCGAAGTCCAAGTGGTTTGCAACCAAGGTGCGGGATGCTTCGGTCTAGGGCTTCGGAACGGTTTAGGGTTTAGGTTGAGCTGGACTGTGTCGGAGCTCGTGCCATGAACGGGTCTGTTGAGCCCCGGACTGTCTGCATGGGACTAGTTCTGGGTGCATGCATGTATGATGGATGGGTGGACGGGCGGACGGACGGACGGACGGATGGATCGTAAGCAATAGCAAGGATGTATGTAGGTATGTATGTATGTATGTACGTTTGTACATATGTACATACGTACATACGTACATACGTACATACGTACATACATACATACATACATACGCGCAGAGCACGCCAACTTGTTGTCTGAAGCACAGATCTTTGCAATGCTGTTTTAGAGCCTGGCTAGGACTAGGATGTGTTGGCTTCATTGACGATCTATTTATCTTGTCAGATGGCCCGTCGCCAGCAAATGACGACGTCGGGAGGCACAAGGATGCTGCTCGGTTTGGAAATGTTGCCCCGTGACCGGCAGGGGCTTTGGCAGGGCGTGGGCCTTAGAGTTTCATGCAGCTGAACTCACAAAGCACCACGCTGAATTGAATCCTGAAGCTATGGGGTCCTTTTGCAAGGAACACCTGCGGCCATGGTCCTATCGAGTTTGCTGCTTCCGGATAAGTAAGAGTACTTCCACTCTGTGGCCGCCCTCGGACTTATTATTATTCGGGTGGGACCTTGAGACATCAGAGTCATTCATTCAAACTCCTGGAAATAAACACAGTGACAGTGCCTTGCGAATTAACCCAAGTTTCTACCTCATTTCTCTCGATGCCTCATTCATGTAGCACGCCAGTTGACCAAGCTTGGGGGTCCTTGGCTCCATGCGTCCTTGCGGTTCCAACACGGCGAATACGGCCTGGGAGGAGATGTTTTTGGTGTATGGATTCCACAGCCCATCATCGGGATCGAGTAACTTGCAGACAGTGGTGTTGGCAGCTAAGTACATGTGTGTCGCTCGCTGACTTGAGGCTAGTGCAGATGTTGAAGAAGGAAAGCAAGGACCAAGATGTGATGATCAGGGCTCCGTTTGTTAATTTGGGTTCGAACTTTGCACCACTGATGCCCCTTCAAGACCGTGCCTGCGCATATGCTCGTTTGAAGTGCGAAGAAGGCAGAGCCGTGCAGCCGGGTCCAACAGTGCCGTGCTGTAGTAAACGAGTTGTTAATCTTTCAGCACCAGCGTCCGTCGTCGCGTGTGAGGAGGTGGCAACTGTGTGACTGCTGCTGAGACCAGAGTCCGCGGAAGATTGCAGCTGGCGTACATGATTGTGGGGGCTGCCATAATCATTACCAGTGCCTGAGCTAAATGATGTGATGAAGTCCCCGTGGCTGGCAACCCTTTTTCTTGAAGTTTACTTGCTATTTGGGTTTGATGCTGGAGGCTTGATTCGTTAAGGTTTTTGGGCTTCAAAGAGGCATGCTGACAAGTCCTGGCAAGTTTCAAGTTTCAACATTTGCTTGGCTTCAGCTCCTCCAGAAGCTACCCGATTTGCGCATAGACCGGGTCATTCAAGCAGCCTGCTGCCATATCCCTCAACTGCTAACCCCTAATTAAACTCTTTAATATGGTGCATGTGAGAGCATGCAGCGCACCCTTCAGATCCCTTCGGTCTTCTTTAATGATGGTTGGCCGAGTTTCGACGAGGCTACTACTTCCATTTCTTCGCTGCCTCCACGGACGGTGGTAGCCCTACCGTGCTGAGCTGCCGGTCTGCGTTCCTCCGGTACAACACCGACTTTGGAGGCCTTGAGGACGTCGGCTTCATCGTCTCAGATGTTTGCTTTTCCTAAACCCCCTGCCAGGAAGCCAATGCGGCCTCTGGGGCAGAGAGCCGGTGCCTCAGGTGTCGTAGGCTTCAGACTTCAGCAGTGGCTCTGATCACCTGGTTCCGGTGGACATATTGGAGTTCCGAGCCGAAATGCTAGAGCCACAAATCCTGCAGCTGCTGGCGCTTTGAGGATTGTTGTTCCACACTGTTCAGCTTCTGATGATGCTACGAACTGCGCTCCCCAACTCTGAAAGAAGAATATTTGTGGCGCTGAAGTTACGATGAATCATGAAAACAGTGCCAACTGCATTTTGAGAACTTAGTACTCGCCGTTGTCTTCTTGGCAATAGAAAAAGAAAAATGAAGATCACATTTCTCACATTTGGAACACTGGATGCGCGCCAATTTGAAGGGAGATCAGTTAAACACAATAACAAGGTCGGCTTGCTTGATGATAGCAGCCAGAACGCAACAAAACACGACAGCCACTGTCGCGGTGACAGGTAGAGTTGCACGAGCCATAGCAGTTTGAGAGAAACTGGCTAGGTTGTTATAGTCTGAGACAGGAGCAAGCATAGAATTTTTCAAAGCAAGTACTACTCTAATAAACCTATGCAGCAACTTCGAGGTGCAGCCCAAGTGGTCGCTGGATACCCATGCGATGCAATGGGCTTTGTGGTCATGGCTTGTGCCTTTGATGCTGTTCATTGCACTCAAAGCTCCCGCACTGGCCATGTCCCGGCATATCGTAAGGGTGCAGAATCATGCTACCAGGTTCCAGTTTGCTTGTCGGCATCATCTTGGACAGACCCCATGTCCAAGCCGACCGTAAAGCCGCCGAGGTACCGAAGTAGAGCGGGCATTAGACCGCGACAGGTCCTGCGGTAAACTGTAGAGCATGTGCCCTATGCTAACGCACACCGGCGAGTTCTAGTGCTGAAGACCTGTGAACATTCGATGTTTGAGCGTCACGTCCAGCAACCACGCACGCAGTTCTGCTTCAAACTGTGCAAGCTGGTCAATGTAGAAAGTAGCAAGTATCTTGGAACTTCCAACCCAAGTTGAAGTCCAACTTGTGAAGCAAGAAAAGAGAGACATGGTAGCAAGCAGCATCATTTCCGACAAAACCTTCATAAACCTTGATCACTCTTGCCACGGAAGCCTGTAATATAGGGGCTTTAATTACCAATACTATTTTGGGGTTCCTTATTATTAGTACAGTATTATGTACCCCAAAACCCTATTCTAATTATTAAAGCCCTACAGTATGCTTGTCTCCGAGAGAAATCAACCAAAAGCCGAGGCACAGTCCGACTGACTCCAGCCGCTGGGACATGCTTCCAGCAAGAACGGCGCCTATATACTTACCAATATCATTTTGGGGGTTACCCCAAAGCCCGTTGCTAAATAATTAGGCCACTATAGTAACAACGCGAAATGGGTCTTTCTTTGGCTAGATGCGGCCAGCGAAACTTAGTAATAGCAGTCAGACACTATGGCAATGTCATTGTTTTGCGATCATTGTCG